CCTGGGTTGGGTAGTGAGAGGATCAAATTTTGTAGTTTTTCTTTCATTTCTGATGAGTTTCAAGGTGAAAAGGAGAGTAGGATCATCCTCTAGTTTTTTGTAGTAGGTGGTGTCAGCGAGTTGTCTGTTGGCTTCTTTTATGTAGTCTTCATGGGTAAGGATAACTATAGCTCTTCTTTTATCCACTGGTTTTATTACTACTTGGTGGTTAGATCTTAGGCATTCTATGGCGCTTCTCTCTGAGAGAGAGGTTGTTACGGTGGTGTTTGTTGTTGATTATTTTATTGTTCATTCTTTGTCTGAAGCAGCAGTCAAGGTTTTAATTTCATCCACTGTGAAGTGTCCAGTCTTATGTTTTTTGGGGGGGTTGATCTTTTCCTCGGGGGTTGTCAAAGGTTGAAGTGCTGTTGGAAGTAGATTCATTTTGATTGTGGAAATACTCTTTGAGGCGAAGTCATTGGAAAAAATTCTTCTAGTTCTCCACATCAAAGTGTTTTTATTAGGGTGTTTTTCTGGACCCTGTAGAGATGCTAGATTTGTCAGCTTTTGTAAGTTATGTGGAGAGAGTGATGCTATTTGAGGGTTGGTTGCTTCTTTCAGTTGCATTGAGTTTGAGGTTGGAATGTTGTACAGTTTCTGACTTACGGAGTGTCTGACTTAAGGAGGGTCAACTAGATAATTAAATACAGTTGGCCTATGTTTACCTCATGCCCTTGTGAATATCGAGCTACAGTATCTGCCTCATTTGTAGTTTGCTTATGACTGTGGTATATATAAAATAAAAATTAACAATGAAAAACAAGGCTTGTATAAAGCAGGATGACAATTGGTAGTAAAAGGTCTGGAATAAAACATGCTGATTTTGCAAATGTTCAGGCAAGTTATAAGGAGGGAAATGTAGTTTTGCAATTTTGAGTTTGTGCAGTGTGTTTCTTCTTACACTGCAGGAATAGAAATGTCCAAGTAGATTAAGTTTAGATTTGATATTATGGTGTAAAAATGAATTTATCTTGCTCCCTGTCAGCTTACTACTGTTGTTATTAAAGATTGCCTGAGTTGTAGATTAAAAATTGCGTGATCCTTGCCATCACATACATTTTCATTGGTGTCCATCTTTTTGCAGAATGGAGTTTTAGTAAAAGTAACAGAGACCTGTCCACCATTGAACTGTTCAGAAAAAGACCATGTTCTTCCAGAGGGCCAGTGCTGTAGCGTCTGTAAAGGTAAGCAGGGGATTTTATGCTTTTGGGAACGTATGTCCTCAGTACAGTTTTGGGGTGTGCTGTAATATCTTTAATTATGAGAGAATAATAGCAAGGTTACAAGACATGAAGAAAAATGTCTTGTATTTGAAAGCTTGTCTCACTCAATCCCAACTATACACTTGATTCACTAAAAGATACCACCGAAGAAATTCTTGCCTCTTCCATAATTCTGGAATGATCACAGCTATAGCATCACTCTAATGCTACCATTTAATGAATGAGATATTAGGTACCCACATAACCTGCACCTGTAATTAGTCTTCTGAATAAACCAGTCTGTACTATTTCTGTTGGGAGGAAAGATTACCAGAAACCAGGTAGGAGAAAGAGGGTACCAGACAGTCTCTCCTGTTACCTATAAGGCCTAGTTGTGAGATAGTTATATTTAAAATAAAGGTGTCCTGAGCTACAAAGTTAGGATGTGAACACCTAGGGTTCTAGGCAGTTTGTGTACAGAATTTGGAGGTGGTTCATTATAGGGGGGTAAGAGTTAATGTGAAGCTAAGATTTTAGTCCAGATTCACATTTTGAGGATGCTTGGATATGGGTTTGTTTTGTCAGATTATTTGTTTAAGGAAAACCTCTATGTTACTTAGTTAATGGAAAACTTTATATTATGTATTACTATACCTATCTGTCATCTGTATTTTCTATCTGTATAGCTATATCTTGGAAGATCAAGGGCTTAGTAAATATTTAATTAGTGTATGTGTGTAATTAAACATTTACTAGGGTCCTGACCTTGCAAGCATCTCCATGTGCTCATATTTGAAGTAGATTACTGGATCGGAGCCTAAGAATATAGACATTAATTTTAAGCAGTTTCTAGAAACATCTGTAACTGTTTAAGCTAGCAGTGAATGTTGCTGCTTCCTCCCTCAGAGGGGCAGCTCTCTTAATGATACTTCTTAGCAGATGGCTTAGTTTGGTGATGTGGCGTAACCGGGGAAAATTAGCTTCATTACCTAAAAGCATTTGAAATCATAGAGCTTCAAAGTTCATGAAAGTTAAAAAGGTAAAAGTTCTGTAGTCATACAAGCCCCTCAAGCCCCCAGAGCAGCTGCCAACGGTGTTTGGAGAGTATGAGCAGCTCAGGCTGCCTTTACTCTCCTGCCAGAGAGTGATTGAGTGAGTGAGAGAGTGGGTGATTGCTTAGGATCTTGTAGCATTTTTTGATGAGACTGAATTCTGCTTTCATTTTTTAATAGAAAGATTACGAGTAAGTTTGAAAAAATTAAATACTATAGTGCAGTCATTCGTAGTTGGTGTATTAATTGAAAACCTAAATGGAATATTGTAGCAAATAATGAAGGATGAAGACCTACACACAGTAATTTACCTTTGTCTTTTAGGAAAAGACATTTGTCTGGGATATTTCTGAAATAAATAATGATCAATTGAGTTTTCCTGTGAACATTTCTTGGTAACCGAGGAAGTCATTGAGTATCACTCATAATGTAATGCCAAATCCGTCAGCATATAGTTGTTAACCTGTAGAGCCAGGTCTTCACTTTTGCATATCTTCATCAATTTATATTTTCGTTAGTATTATAGCATGGAGTTCGTAAATTTCATAGCTGTTAGGGTTGGAAGGGACCTTAAAGATCAAGTCCAACCTCCTGCCTCTGGGGCGGGAAGTCAGTCAGGGTCAAAGGATCCTAACAAGATAAGCATCCAAACGTTTCTTGAATGAGTCCAGGGTAGGTGCCTGCACTGCTTCTGGAGGGAGTCTATTCCAGGTCTTGGGGGCTCGGACAGTAAAGAAATTTTTTCTTATGTCCATCCTAAAACAGTCTTGGAGGAGTTTATGACCATTAGTCCTTGTTTTCCCTTGGGGCACTCTGGTGAACAGATGTTTTCCCAGATCCTGATGCACCCCCCTTATGTATTTATAAGCAGCCACCAGGTCCCCCGTAAACCTGCGGGTTTCCAGGCCGAAGAGAGTTAGGGAGGTCTATAAAACAATACAGTATTGAGGCACACTGCAACTGCCCTAACCACATTAGCAGTAGTACAGTTGCAACAGAATACAGCAGAACTTATCAGTGTGCATACAGCATCAGTGTCACAGCTAAGATACTTCCAGTTACCAAATGGATACTGTAACAAGGTCCTGCCCCAGGGGTGGTTGTGGTGCCCCTGGAGCTCCTCCCAGCCCTTGTCATGTTTATTTTCACCGGACAATTTCCCCTTCCACTCACTTGCTATGTCTTGACGTAATTATACCTTTAGAAAAAACGGAGGCTGTGGCCTCCTCGTCTCCCATTTTAGCCATGCCCAAGCCTTGCATTGGGTGTGAAGCCTGATTGTCCAATCAGGCCAGTCTCTCATCCATGGGCCCCAGTGTCAACTCCAGTCAATGGAATTGCCCTTCAGAGATACCTACTTTTCCCCATTGACTATTGGAAACTTAGGAAACTAACCTTTTTTCAAATCATCTGGTGGGCATCGTGTATCTGTTTTTTAGGTATTATGCCATGTAAGTTGGAGGTGCCTAATAAATTCAACTATTTTCCCTCCATCCATAACTTTTTAAGAATTGTGTATATCCTTGCTATGAATTTCTGGTTGCTAAACTACAGCAAGGAAATGTATGTACTCAATTGTAAGAATAAATATGGGGCTATGGGAAAGAATATAAGACTGAATATCAAAGTAAGAGTATGATAGAACAATAAAAGGTGTAGCATAAGTCTACCTCTCTACCTCAGGGTTTTCTATTGTACTAGTCACAACAGCTTAGAAGAAAATAGGATATTGCATCAAAGAAGAAAACTGTTTACAGTGCTTCAAATTGTGAGTCAGCAGAATAACAGTCAAATACTATAATATACACAGCTGGTAGACTTGCTGCTCTCTTATTATTGTTGTAAATGGTTAGAAGAGTAAATACTGTGAATGATACCCTTGCTGTTTCTGCCTCACCACACTCATTTATAATACAGTGGCATCCAGTACATTAATGGAACATGATTCCTATGTTCTATTGAAAGGATCTGTGTAAATGCAGTAGAGAGGACCCCTACCCTCTACCATAAAATATGAGGGCTTTAACCTACACATGGATCTACCTATATAAGCAGTGCACCTGATCAGAACTTGTGGAAGAGGTGTATCCATGAATGGTCACTTAGAAATATGGCAATGGGACTCTTCTAACCATTTAGTGCACCAGAACAGAAAACATTAATGTAAATGTCTGCTTATACTACAGTATATATTTTTTAAAAATCTTCAGCAGGAAAGTTCATTGGTAGTATGTGTCCCAATGCATATAACAATATTGTTGAAAAATCTAAATAAAAATATATTTAGAAGCAGGGAATAAATTTGAATTGTATTTTTTGCAAACCTTTATCATTTTTATGACAATCAACTTAAATAATTATATTTGGGGTTTTTTTCAGTAGTAGTACCAATAGCATAGGCAAAAAATTGTTCCCTTTAACTGCCTCCTCCTTTAAGAGTCAGTGATTAATTCTGAGGGGTGAAGTTGCCATCTTCTTTCCCTTTCAAATAAACGATTCAAATAAAGTTTCAAAGGAGTACTTTGGGTTGCTGCTATTCATGATATCTTCCTCTCATCCTTAAAAGAGAGAAAATAATGAGGTAGTGAGAAATGCTTAGCTTCTATAGAAAGTAATTTTTATTTGACATCTAGTAATATGGTTTGGCTGGTAGACTGGTACTGATGATGGTTAGCAGCAAGTGTAGAATCTTCCTGATGAGATCCAGTGTGCATTTTATTGCAGTAAACAGTGGTATAATATAAAAATATGGCTTCTGTCATTCTTACATTATCAGTTACAAAAAAAGGGTTTCTGAGTCTTTCAACTGCAGCTTGGGAAGGCACTTCAATTAGCATATTTCTCATCTCTCTGTCTAGCTGTGAGACTCAAGATTTTTCTGACTAAAAGAAAAACGGAGTGAATTTTGCTTTATCAGAAGCAGAAATCAAATGTTTCTCATGCATTGTGTTGGGAATTTGAGCTATTTCAAGGTTTTAGTTTTATTAAGGCTCTGGTGGTGGTTGAAAAGTATGAATTAGTTACTTTCTACGCATAATCATAGTAATGCTTAGGATTTTAAAAAAGCTGTATATCCTCAAAGTATGCTTTATAGATTATCTAATTAAACCTTGTGATGCCCTTGTGTTACTGTAGAGCTACTGCACAGTGCACATTTATTGAAATGGTGTCTCAATGCATATATAAATTGAAAAGAATTATTAAACACATTATTTGAGGTCTAATCTCTGGGTGCACAATCTCCAAAGACATGAAGGAAATCAGAAGAGCATCAGTGCTCATATCTTAGTAAAACTTGTTCATATAAGAGACTGTGGTGTGCTAGTTAACAGTAACATGATTCTTTATCAGGTTCATTAGGCACCCAGATTTACTTTACAAGTGCCTGGTCACTGGGAGCTATGTGTACCCAGAGGCTTAGAAAGGAAAGCCGGTAAGATTTGTAGTGTCTAATTTTAGGTAATCTACTTTGAAAGTTGTAGGCCTCATCAGTTGTATACTTTTTCCTGAGGCCATGCAGGTGATCAGTTCATGTTCTGAAGCATGGAATTTGGTTACTTGTATAATTATCTTAGCATAAATTATTAACATGTATTGTGCAGTCAGGTAACATTAGGAAGTACCCCTATTTATTATAGATAGTAGGAATAGATGCGATTATGATCTCAGTAGGAGATAATTAAAGCAAACAATCTAACAACCTTGGCAAAATAGGCAGTAACATGATCAGAGATATTTGGAGACAGAACAGAGGTTATCTAGCCCATCAAAAATCTAGACACTCTCTTCTATAGTTAATTCCCTTATGGTAGTACCTAATTGTATCTTGAATGTCTTGAATGACTTTGGAGGGCTGTTCTGCACATTTATCTTTTCATGTGTGGGGGAAAAATTGGTTCCCGACATCTGTTCTGAATGTGTTTATCTGTA